CTGTAAAAACTAACTGAAATGCTTTCTGAAAATAAAACATTTTAAGAAAAATTGTTAACCTTCATTTTACATATAATTCTATTCATCCTTATTTATTATTAAATGTATATGGTCATTCATCGTAAATACCCGCTGTAAAAACTAACTGAAATGCTTTCTGAAAATAAAACATTTTAAGAAAAATTGTTAACCTTCATTTTACAGCTTTCTATGAGGGTTAAAACATAGCATACCGGAAAGCCCAATTGTAAGGTGACAGACAAGGTGAGTCATCCACACACATTTCACATCCCGGTGGGCAAGGTTTACACGTATACAGGAGGTCATAGTTCGGGCTAAACGGAGGAGAAGAAATGATAAAAGATGTTTCAACACTTTTACTGTCTAAATATATACTTTATGTTTTGTTAGCCAAAGTCATTAAATTATATCTATACAGGTATATAATCTTTCACTTATTATAACATACACTTAGAAATACAAACCGTATTAGTTAGGACGTAATATATGCAGATTAACAATAAAATAAACTAGTTGTCACATCAATATCTACGCTGAAACACTTCTAACAGCGAATGGATTTTTTTTGCAATAGTAAGATGATTTTAAACAATTTGGGAAAGCTTAGTAAAGACAGGAATATACCAAGTTTCGATTGAAGGTAACCGATTAGTATGCAAAATAAATCAAGTTTTAACAATCTTTCAGCCATCTGAATCAAATTAATATTGTTTGTTTTTTAATAAGAACGATTGAGATACATATATATAAATTTTCCTATTCTTGTACGATATTAAATACATTAGCCTATTTACTAACTTAAACTGTAGAAACACATTGTTTTGTAAATACATCCCTACATACTAGTTGTACTTCCGCACGGTCCCCGAAAGTGTTATGTTTCAAGAGTAAATAAAACCAAAATTTAGAGTAACAAATATTTTCATTTCATGCTTTTCAAGTTCATATGTCATGGTGTGTGGTAGCCTACAGAGTGCATATTCTTCTCATGATTCATGACATGCGCACATTTTACTTAAGTCACGACAAATTGCAACGTTAAGCGTCCCTTATGTGACGTCATTTTAGTGTCTACTGGCTGACTGCAGACAACACACTACTGTATAATGGTGCAAGCGGTTAAAACAGGTGACCTTTCCAGACGGCCTTTGGCACCCTTTCGGGGAAATTAGTCGAGAGTAATAAAATTATACCCAAAATAAACCACTACTTGCACAATCAGAAAGGCAAGTAAAATAAAAATAATCACTACAATACATAAAATTATATATCTGTACTACCATGAAATTGTAAGACAGTTTCTTCTCACATTTAACAGTAATTCATCAAATCAAAGTTTAACATCGGAAAAATTCAGCTTTGGTGAGGTGAACTGAGAAGTGTGAAAAATATTTCCAAGAGAGAATGAAACTCTTTTTCAAGAAAACGATCGTCGGCTAAATATATTTACCTGTGTATAACTTCTTTCTCCTTCCAAGCAGATTCCACCAATGTACCATTGAATTCCGGACTCCTCATAGCTGAGTAGAACCCCTTTCTACAGTGGCACCTGTATGCTCCGCTGGTCCAGCCATTGTTCGGAGAAAACATACACTGATAACAGAACATAAATAAATGTATACATAACACATCTTTTTAACTGTCTATCTATAATTAAATCAAGCAGGAATATTTTACCATTTATTCTTCAATATATATATATATATGTGTGTGTGTGTGCATATTTGGGATATCTTCTAATATTTTCACCTTATTCGCTTTGTACTTCATTACTGTATTCATTACAATTTATTTTTTATGTTTTTATATTAGCATACTGGTTATTCCTTTGTTTTAAAACATAAACATAATATAAAATGGCATCCTTTCTTCAGTAATTAATTCAATTATTTCATTATTATATTTGTTCCTATTTGTATTTATTTATGTGCGAGGAAAAACTTCCATTAGGCATGTTTCCTAACAATGATGACGTTTAAAAAAGTCAGTATTTCGAATTCGACATTTGAAACTCAAATTTACCAGGTGTTGATACCGTTAGGAAGTAAGTGGACTTTGTGCTCAACTCATCTTTGTTATAGGCTTAATATGATGAAATACGAAACTATGTCAAACCTCTTCTAGAAAAAATGTACAAGATTGTATAAGATAGTCAAAAAGGCAACTAAGATAAAATAATTTAATACCCATTGTTTGAACCATACTCTTCCATCGTCTTTCGTGTTACACATGACTGTAATTTTATTGTATATACTTTTTATTATATACTAGTAAACATATTTCATATATTTAATACCTACTAAGATGCACTATTAGTAATCTCATTATCTACTAAGGCACCGAAGACACTTCTGTTTTCCAAGTTATCTCCTCTATAATCCCGATTTATATCGTAATACAAGATACACTTGTAATACAAATTATTTCGTCTACAATCCCACTATCTATCGTGATACAACCTACACGGTTGTAATTCCAGTTACTTCTTCTATAATCCTATATTGTGATACAGCAGACACAACTGTAATCTGAGTTATATAACCTATATTACCATTGTCTATCGTGATACAACAGACAGCTGTAATACAACTATTAATCTCATTATCTACTAAGACACAACAGATGTAATCCCATTTATCTCATCTATATAATCCAATTGTCTATCATGGTAAAACATACATAACTGTGGGCTCTATCGTTTCACTTGTAATTGCGTTGTGTACATACCTTGCTACAGCAGATACAGTTTAAAATCCCTATTAATACAGCACATTTCTTTATAAAACATTGATTTCTTCGCTACTAAAGACGTATTAAAATATAATTTTTAGGAATTATATCACATTATTAAATCCCACAACTATTACAGAGGGATTTTATTATATGAGATTAAGGAAGATAGGAAAAAAGTTATAATAATAAATCATAAATAATCATTGGAACAGTAGAATATTTCATTTATACGCATGGTTAATAACAATAAAAACTCACCACAGTGTCATACTGACACTTGTCTTAGCTGTAATACAGTGTATTACGAAAACAATTCTAAGCTGAAATTGTTTGTATAGCTTTGCTTATTTCTTATTTCGCACGGATATATGTATATCTATGTGTGTGCGTGGGTATATATAATATTGTATAAACTGTATATGTTGTACTTGATCTGCTAAACATAATTTTCTAGTCACACAAATATTTTTAGCTGTGATATGCGTTTTTAAATAACCTTGCTAATCATATAAATGTTACAGATATTTTCCAACTGGAATAACTATACATAAAAATGCAATGTACCCTATGTATGAAAACTAGCGGAATCAATTTTTTTTAAATAATTTTTCTCCTAGTATCTGTTTCCTTTATTAAAACTCGCTATTATACCTGCGCAATTAATTGTTAACGAAGGTTGGTTGTAATTAACTCAACGCTACACGATGGGATATCTGTGCTCCGCCCACAACTGGTATCGAAACCTGGTTTCTAGCGTTGTAAGTCTGCAGAATTTAACGAAGGAGAGTTATTTAAGTAATAACCAAGTAATCTCTACCTATGCATACATATTCTAAAGGAAGAAAACTCATGAGACTTTCACATGATTTTTGTCTATATTTGTGATTTACTTGGTTCGTGTTGTTCATCATATTAAAAGTCCAAATTTTCTTACGCATACCATAGCAGATTAAATCGTTTATCTGAATTACATAGAGTCATGTACCCAGTAAATTAAATGTATAGAGTAAGGCACTTGAACGCCTAAACGCCATCAAAATTTACAGTTTCCAGTCTGATCTGTGAACCAAACATTTTGTATTGAAAAATGAAACTTTACAAAATAAATATAAAAGTGACTGTAAGTAGAAATATCATACGCCCATAAATTAGATATTCAAGTTATTCTGTTAGGTTCTATAACAAAATAAAAGGGAATCCTCAATAGCTGCAGCACTTGAAATTCTTTTAGGCAGGATTAGAGTAAATCAATCTAAGAGACATCCCCCCCCCCATTTTTAATAACTATATTTTTGTGTGCCAGCAATACCAAGCGTGGGGCGCACGTATACTCGATTCGATTTTATTACTCATCAGGATCTTTACCAGCCTACCCTCAAATTTAAACTATTTTAGGCAGGATTAGAATAAATTAATCTATAAGGCCTTGTGCGTGGTCAAATACATAAATTCAAAGGGTTTGACCTTCTGAGTCCAAAACTGTAATTAGATCTTAAATCGGTCAAGAGATGACGGAGCTATGAGCTAAAAGTTTGTATTTGAAAAAAAAAAAACAAAAAAAAACAAACTCGAGCCATTCTATGAGCCGCTATGCCGCAGCTAAAAACAACAACATAAAACTCATGTGTTTACAAAAGCCTTTTTTGTAAGAATTATGTCAGTATGCTTTAAAATTTTAAGAGTAACACTACATTGACCGGATTAAAAAATAAATAAATATTTGAAGTTATAGAGGTAATAAATAAAACCTAAAAACCTAAAAATAGGGTGTAAAACAATTATTTAAAAGCATTAACTTGGCATCATCATTAGTGATTGATGATGCCACGCTAATGGCGATGAAACGTCGAGGTTATATATATTGTCAAACAGTTTAAGCTATCCGTTTTAAGATACTGTTAAAATAGTAAATCAACGATATTCAACATTTAAATTGTCAATGCACACGTCTCCTAAAAATGTTATAAATACAATCTTCACTTTATAATGGCTGGAGACGGCTTGAATGGGTAATGAAGAAAAACTTTAATATAAGTTTAACATAACAGCATATTTTAAACTCTGTACATCGTTTGTCGTTATACTAGAAACATATTGTTGCGTCAGCGAGTCACATGACTACTGTGACGCCACGTTTCTA